GTAAGGTAGAGTCACTTTCTGAGGACTCTGCTAGGAGGTCTTTCTACTCTGGCTGGTGGGAACACAAACTATTCCCAGCCCCATGTGAGCCCCAGGAAATGTTCAACCTGCTGCTTTTGGGTGGATCTTTTCCCCCAGATATTTTCCTCTTGTGTGTACATAGATCAGTACTCAGCCCCAGTTTCAAAGTGACCCCTCTGCAAGTCTCTGGAGCTTGCTCTCTCTGCAGGTCCCCCCTGGAACCCTGACCCATAAATTCTAGTAACTTCAACCTCCTTTTCTTGGATCTCTAGCTCTTCATTGCGATGAGACTGTGAGCTCTGTTTCTCCCTCCCTGCACTGCATTCTGGAAATTGCCTCCAGGCAGCAATTTCCAGGCAAAAAAAGTCACCTCTTTTTTTCCCCTCAGGGTCATAGTTCTATGCTGCCTGTTGTTTAATAGCTGAAAACTATTGTCTTGTATATTTTGTCCAGTTTTCTAGTTGTTTAAGGCAGGAGAGTAAATCTTGGCCGGAAGAAGAAGACTTTTGATTTCCTACAATGAATGTTTGTGGTTAGAAAAATGCTTTTCCTACAACTTTCCCTAGTGATTCTATAGTTCCTTACTAAGTTTGAAGGTGTTTTAATAATAATTCATGCTGGAACCTTCACTTTGGTCACATTAGCAGCAGGCTCCTTTTTCTATTCCCTGTCCTGACACCTGCCAGATCCCTAAAAGAAGATAGAGTCCAACTCTTAGTTTCCAAGGTTTGAGTCTCACCAATTCATTCACATATGCTTTATGTGGTGACCAGAGTTTTCATGTTTAGATCACCATACATCAAGATTACCTGGAGCCCAGGTACTGACTATAGTTGTTGGAAATGATATATAAAAGGTGGTTACCCTCAGAGTCCTAATCAAAGTCGCAAGAAGGCAGGAATTCTCAAGCACCCTCCTTCTTTTTTTCTCCTCTTGAGTCCTGGAGCCTGTCTTCCTTGACTTTAGGCGTTCAGTGGCATTCAGTTAGTTCCCTGACTCTCCAAAATTCCTTCTAGAGGCCTCACATACAGACACGTCCTATTTCAGAATTATCTTTTCTTCCTTCTTACAAATCAGTCAAACTCCAATTATCTCCTAGCTTAACCCATTCACTGTAAGAAGCTTGAAGGCAGGAATGAAATATTAGTTTTGGTGTTTCGTCAGCCTCTAGAACATCATCTGACAATGGATGATTAAAAAAGAGGCTTTCTCTATACTTTGTGTTTGCCAGCTGTGAAGACAATACAAAGCTGGAGATCTTGGTGGCCATCATTGCTGCCAAGTAGGGAGAGTGAGATGAAGGCAACACAGGAAGTGTGGAGAAAAAGAGAGTGCAAAATATTATCATGACGACATGATTTGGGTTTCTGGACTCAGCTACGTAGATTCACCCTTAGATTTCGCAAGAGCCTATAATTTCCCATTTTTGCTTAAATTAGTTTGAATTGGGTTTCTCTCACCAACAGGTTTAGACAACTTTTTTTTTTTTTTTTTTTAGGAAGATTAGCCCTGAGCTAACATCTGTCGCCAATCCTCCTCTTTTTTGTTTAGGAAGATTGGCCCTGGGCCAACATCCGTACCGATCCTCCTCTACTTTCTATGTGAGTTGCCACCACAGCATGGCTTGATGAGCAGGGTGTAGGTCCACACCTGGGATCCGAAACTGTGAACCCCAGGCCGCCAAAGCAGAAAATGCAAACTTAACCGCTACGCCACTGGGCCAGCCCCTAGGCAACTTTTTACACCAAAAAACTAAGATGGGAATGAAGTATAAAGAAAATGGTGAGGAGAATGTCAAGGTAATTGGTGACTTACAGTGTAGCACCCCTCCCCATACAAACTTGCTGCTACGCCCATCTGGAGGCAGCAGGCAGAGCTGAGCCTCAGGTGGTAGGGAGCAGGCAAAATCCAAGCCTGGTACACTGGTGGGTAAAGGCTGGACAACCCTAACCTATGGCTCTTGTTACTTTCAGGTGCTGCCAAATGTACCTCAGTGGGGGTGAGGAAATGGACAGAGACACTTCATGCTGGCTCAAATCTCGACCAAAATCTCCCTTTCTGAGTGGTGGTATGTCTCTTCATGGCCCCAAAGTTCTGTTACAAGGTGGAGCCATGGTTTCACATTTCACAGTGTTTCTACTTCTCAAGTCCTTGTGGAAGTTTCACTCTGTTCTACCAGTTGATCAGTTCAAGCCCTGGGTATCTACAGGCAGGTACACACAGGAGCGGCTAGGAGAGGGGAGCACCCCAGAGCGTCAAAGTGCTGATGGATTAGTTAGACAAAAGCATTGCTGCCTTCATTTCCCCTGGTTGGCTTTGGTCTCCCTCTCCCAGTTGTCCTTTGGCAGAGGTGCAGAATGCTGATGAGGTGCCTCTTGGACTCCTTCCAGAAGAGTCTCCAATTAAGGCAATTAAGTGAGAGCTGGAGGACACTTTATGAGCCATGCAGTGGTGCCAAGGGTATACTGAGTCAAGAGGCCAAGACTCGGCTATGCTACTGATAGGCCCCTGGGGGGGGTCTCAGTGAAACCGAAACAAGAAGAAATCACCCTTCCTTTTGTAAAACACTCCAGGATGCCCAAAATAGTGCAGAACAAAGATAATGTATTTTGCAGTTTCAACTCCATTTCCTAGTTGCTAAAATGAATTTGGCAGAAACCACATCACTGACAGACAAAACATGGTAAAATATGTTTTAAAAGTAAAACTTAAAAAAATAAATATTGTGGGGAGACCAATAATAGTGAACAGTTTTCTGTGTAAACACCATGTGGTAGGTACTTTCACAGTTCCTGTTTCTGCAGGAAGTCTTATTCCCATTTTACAGATACAGAAAAGCGAGGCCCCAAGAGGTTGAATAACTACAGAGTCTCTAGAGTCTCTAGAAAGAATCTTTCTTCAGGGCCGGCCCCGTGGCTTAGCGGTTAAGTGCGTGCGCTTCGCTGCCGGTGGCCCGGGTTCGGATCCCGGGTGCGCACCGAGGCACCACTCCTCCAGCCATGCTGAGGCCGCGTCCCACATACAGCAACTAGAAGGATGTGCAGCTATGACAGACAACTATGTACTGGGGCTTTGGGGGAAAAATAAATAAATAAAATCTTTAAAAAAAAAAAAAAAGAATCTTTCTTCAGCATCACAATGCCTCTCGCTACGCCATGCTACCTCCCAACAGCTAATGAGTGCCCCTACTCCCACCGCTCACACACGCGTGCTAGAAGAAGGTAAATGAGACTCCTTTCCTATGGGACCTTGTCCTTCAAATTGTCTTTAAAACTCTGAGTAATGAACCTTTTCCTCCCCATATTAGATTGTGGTATCTGACAGTGATTCACCAAAACTAAACCAACAGCAACTACCAAAGAGGCATATTCATGCTAAGGTGATAAGCTGGCTAATAGCCACTTTTCTTTCCCTGTCACAGGACCCTTTAAACTCCAATGCTGTTTACTTAATTTTTTTATTGTGATAAAATATATATAACAAAATTTTCCCTTTTAATCATTTTCAAGTATACAGTTCAGTTCAGTGCATCTAGTACATTCACATTGTTGTATAATCATCACCACCACCCATCCACAGAACTCTTTTCATCATCCCAAACAGAAACTCTATTCCCATTAAACAATAAGTGCTCATTCCTCAAACCCCCTTCCCCCTGGCAACCACCCTCCTACTTTCTGTCTTTATGAAATTGATTACTCCAGACACCTCATGTAAGTGGAATTACACAGTATTTGTGACTGGATTTTTTCACTTAACATAATGTCCTCAAGATTCATCCACATTGTGGTATGTGTCAGAACTTCCTTCCTTTTTAAGGCTGAATAATATTCCATTGTATGTACACATCACATTTTCTTTATCTATTCATCCATGGATGGTCCCAATCCACTTTAGGACAACTCTAAGGGATAGAAAAGTCTTCCTTATTATTATTTTTTGTGTGTGTGAAGAAGATCAGCCCTGAGCTAACATCTGTGCTAATCCTCCTCATTTTGCTGAGGAAGACCGGCTCTGAGCTAACATCTATTGCCAATCCTCCTCCTTTTTTTTTTCCCCCAAAGCCCCAGTAGATAGTTGTATGTCATAGTTGCACATCCTTCTAGTTGCTGTATGTGGGACGTGGCCTCAGCATGGCCGGAGAAGCGGTGCATCAGTGCGCGCCCGGGATCTGAACCCAGGCCGCCAATAGCGGAGCGCACGCACTTAACAGCTAAGCCAGGGGGCCGGCCCAAGTCTTCCTTATTTTGAACCCAATTCTGTTTCTTTCCAACCTGTGTTCACAGGTCCTAGCTCTGCCCCTCAAAAATTATACAAAATAAGTTGAATTCCTCTCCCCATGTCAGTCTGTGACAATGCCAGGTAGTCTTCAGGACTTTCCCTTTCTAACTCATGAGATGAGGCCTGAGAACAAACCCTCAGTGCTCGAGGAGCCACTTCAGAGGGGAGATACCTTCAGTCCATCCACTCTCTGCCTCAAGGGCGTTGAGGATCTTAATGCCCTTCACTCCACACCAATGGGCCTCCATCTGGAGAACTGGGTGAGAGAGTGGCTCATCTTCGCAGTCTCCTGGGGGGCAGTACTGTCCGCCACACTCTCCCCATAGCACAGAGGATCAGCAGAATCTTCCAGATGCCAGCCCCTCCTGAGCAGAGCATAGCTTCAGCTTGCACCCTGAAACCAGTGTTAACAAAGCTGGGGAGCACATCAGCTACTGGCCCCACGAAATGTTTGTGGAAGATTTCTGAACACACATTTCTGCCTCAGCAAATTATCTCCAAGAACACAGTCAGTATGAAGATAAGTAAGGGAGAGAAATGAACGAGAAACTAAATTGGGTACTCCTCAGATGGCCGGTGCCAATGGCTTGCTCTGGGTATAAAGAGGAGATTTTACCACAAGCTTCTCCCCAGAGGTGGAAGGAGCATATCATGTTGCTTCTCACTCCTGCCCCACCCTGAGGAATGGACTCAGTAACACTGCAGGCCTTTCTCTTCCCTGATATCTTTGAGTCAAGGCGCCGTGTTGACCAAGGGTGTCAGATAAAGGACTACAAAAGCATTGTCTGAATTGCCCAGGGAGGATGTGGCCAACATTCCTAGTGTGTTTGCAAATATGGCTGAGAGACTAGGTGCAAAGTGAGGGATGCTGGCAAGGCACGCTCATATTTGGAGACGGTAGTTCCCTCCTGCCACAGGTACTTCTGACGAATCGCTCCAACACAGTAGTACCTACACTTTCACACTTAACTGCAGAGGAAGAATCCTACACTCAAAACTGCACACAGTGAGTCCTATCCAGGTGGGTTCTAATTGTTCATTACAATAGAATTTTGCTTTTCCAGAATTTAGTAATCCATCAATTGATAAACTTCTCTGGTATATATTTTTAAGATTCTAGAAAATCCAGCTCATTTGGTTATTACTTACTCATTATTCACTTCTAAAATCATTGAGGGACCAGCCCCGTGGCTTAGTGGTTAAGTGTGCGCGCTCCACTGCTGGCAGCCAGGGTTCGGATCCCGGGCGTGCACCGATGCACTGCTTCTCCCGCCATGCTGAGGCCGCGTCCCACATACAGCAACTAGAAGGATGTGCGACTATGACATACAACTATCTACTGGGGCTTTGGTGAAAAAAAGGAGGAGGACTGGCAATAGACGTTAGCTCAGAGCCGGTCTTCCTCAGCAAAAAGAGGAGGATTAGCATGGATGTTAGCTCAGGGCTGATCTTCCTCGGAAAAATAAATAAATAAAATAAAAATAAAAAAATAAAATCATTGAAAACTGCATTTTATAAATAACCATAAAATTATTATATCAAGGACCTGTATGCAGAAGTCAAGTAACAAAATGGGTTGAAAGAAGAAAAGAATTGGGCTGGCCCCGTGGCTTAGCGGTTAAGTGCGCGTGCTGCGCTACTGGAGGCCCGGGTTCGGATCCCGGGCGTGCACCGACACACCGCTTCTCTGGCCACGCTGAGGCCGCGTCCCACATACAGCAACTAGAAGGATGTGCAGCTATGACATACAACTATCTACTGGGGCTTTGGGGGAGAAAAGAAATAAATAAAATCTTTAAAAAAAAAAAAAGAAGAAAAGAATTACATCAGAAGATTTACACTAAGGAAGTAATGAAATAAAGTATGAAATTTAGCTCTGAGCTTCCTGGCAATAAAATAGAAAGGGAGAAAAGAATTTAGGCTGCATATGTCCCATTATTTAATTAAAGAGAGCATACAGATTCATCAGCAGATGTTGTCTTGATAAATTTCAAATAGAGATTTTTTACAAAAACTTAATTTAAATATGGCTTTTTAGGAATCCATCTATATGTAAAGACCTATCTGTGTGTGTGAGTGTGTCTCAGTGTACGTATGGATGTACATATCTGTCTGTCCATCATCTATAGTCTCTTTGTGTGTCTGCATATTTCAGAGATTAAAAAAAAAATCTATCAGGAAACTTGACAAGACCTCGTCTGTTTCAGTTTATGGGAATGGCTGCCTCTCACAGGAGAGAATCTGGTGGGAAGGACGAGGTAGATCCCCAGGAGATCCGCACACTTACTCTGTCCTGCTAGGTAGCTGAGCTGATCTTACACAAACCTATTGTTTCGTAATCTGGGACGGCTGACCACTAGTGAGAGAGGGGGAATCGGTCGGTCTCGCTACCCTAAGCCCAGGATCCAGGTGCCTGAGGAAAGCTCGTTGGCACCCAGGTGCCCTGCAGCCCAAGCATTTCTGTCTAAACCCACTCTGAGTGCCAAGTCTAGCATATGACTGGGCGCCTGCTCAGCTCCCATTTGGCACTCCACTCCCCTGCTGGTCCTGGAACCCTGCCCCAAACCACAGCTGCCTGGCTTGGGGCCTGACAATCTGCCCACTCCTTGCCAGAACTCTCTCTTTCTCTAGAGGGCTGGGACTTGTCATTGTACCCTCCCCCAGTTGCCGCAAGGGGTCCTGCTTCCACCCTGAGGGCCCATACAGGCCCCACCCTCATGAAGTCACCTGCCTGTTGTGAATGTTCCTCCGCCCAGAAAGCCTAACAATCCCACGCCTCCACCTCTCTGATTAAACACTCTGGAAGGTTAGACCCAAGTTCACCAAACCCCTGGGTAGCCATGATGTAGATTCCAGACTGTCCTCCTGAGAAATCCACTCAGACTGATCCTGGATCCTCCCCTCTTCCCACTGACCCACTGCCAAAAACATGAAAGCAGATGGATGTCTCGCCTATTCTAGAGGGTAGCCCATGTGGAGGGGGTGTCCTGGCCCCCTAACATCAGGGGGGTGTTTATAGGACAGTGACTATGGAGGGGGCTGTTCCTTGACCCCACAAGCAGAATCAGGAAGGATTCAAAAGGGTCCCAAACTACCACGTTGCATTGGAGCGAACAAGGTTTGCTGGCGTCACCCTGCCATCTGTCGCGTCTCCTCACCTGCTGTAGAGAGACTGGAATACACGCCCCATGACCGTGGAGGGAAAGCCAAGGTTATCTCCAGTCCCTCCCCTTAAGGTGAGGAGTGCCTGAGTAAGAGCTGAAAGATTTTCTGAACCTAAAGGGCTTGCTGTAAGAGGATATCACTTTGGGGTCAGTTTTTAGATAAATCCAAGGTTGGGGGAGAGGGAACTGCAGGGCTGAAACAGACAACAGTGTTCTCTGCTGGAGTAGAGTTTCCAGATGCCCCCAGCAGTGGGAACAGCCAGAGGAGTTGTGATGTTTGGGAGGCCGTCGGGGAAAGCCGTTGGGGAACGCTGCCAAGCTCAGGTTGTGGGGTGTGTGATCCCTGGGGCTGAGGTGTCCCAGAGAGTACCAACCACCAGGAGAGCCACAGCTGGTAAACCAGCACATATAGCCCCATCTGCTTGAAAGAAAAAGACGTCTGTAATGGATCAAAGTAAGAGAAGCATGTCTGCGGTGCCTGGTCCAGAGTAGGGACTTAATCAATTCACAGCTTCCACCCCCCAGAGACTACGCAGCTGAGGTGGAGACAGCGACACCCCCCCCCCCACCCAGGGTTGACAGATACCACATGTGGCAGCTCAGGGATCCTTTGGGTGTAGTGGAAACACGCCCTCCATCCCTCCTGCTGAGGCCATGCCTCAGGGAGGGGCTGTGAGAAGCCATCACCACGTGGAGAGAATGGTTTTCTCTGGATTCCCTTCTTCTGCCCTCAATTCTGCCTTCCAGGAAAATACTCCTGTAGGGAGTCGGGGGACCGTGGCCAGTGGAGACCGAGGCATGCTGTGTGAGAACACAACATTGACGGGTCAGTGCAGTTTTGCTCTTCAAAGCATATAAACGTGTTAGCCATTACCGCGCCTCTCTTTTGTAACTTGAGTTGCAAGTGCTGGGGTATTTATTTTCAAGTAGCGATTGAAAAGTAGATAAAATTCATGGTGAGCCACGTACCTTAAGGGACCTTCGAATAGAGTAGTAACAAAAAGCAATTACATAAAGAAGTACGTCTGATTTTAGATGTGCCAGAAAGCTAAACAAAATAGAAAGAAAATCCATTATTCAGGCCAAATAAGACACGGAATGATTATGGACAACTTAGTTATTTTCTTAAAGGAAGAACGACAAATACACTGAAATCATACCCGCAGTTTGGCTGGAGTGCTTTAAGATGAGAAAATACCAAAAGTAGTCCCTCCCATCCCCTTTTCCCTGTGGCTACAAAAACTCATGCTCTGACTCTCTCATGGGCCGAGGGTTCTGCTCTGAAGAAGTGACTGTGGCAGGTGCTGCTTACTGAGACCAGGGAGGCCTGGAGGCCACTGCCAGCCCTGTGGCCTAGAGGCCTGCTCCCAAGAAGCCGCAGAGAGAGGGGCCTGGGACATGTGGACAGTGATGACAGGAGAGGCTGGAGATAGCCCAGGAGCAAAAGGGACAAGGTAGTTATTAAACAATAAAAATCGTTTCAAAGCAAAGTTTGCTACTGCTGTCCAGATTAGAAAAGATGACTGCTCAAATGATAGTTTTTAAAACTCTATGTCCATTTTTAAATCATCATAACATGTACTTGGAGAACAGTTGCCCAGGTTCAGTATTGTCTGTGCATGGAAATTGGGAAAACAGAGACCCCCAGCAGTACTGGTTTTCCAAGTGTGGTCTACAAGCCCCTTTCCTTGCATCACCTGAGGGTCCTACACAGTTCCAGGCTCCCCTCAGAACCGCTGAGTCAGTCTCTGAGAGCAGGGTCCAGGAATCTGTATTTTTAAGCTTGAAAGTATAGTAATTTTGAAAACCATTAACCCAAAGGGTAAAAGACCTAATTGTTAACATACATCCCCCCTTAATCTTGCAATCGGGCACTGGAAAGCACATTGGATTTGGAATCCAAACACTTGGGTTAAAATTAAACTACTTAGCCTTGAGCAATTCACTTTTAATTTCCTATGGCTCCAGTTTTTCTCATTTGCAAAATGGAAATTCTACCCAGAGTTGTAAACATTAATTGACAAAGAATGTAAAAGCATTTGCAATGTAAACTCTACAGGATAATGTTTATTATTATCATTATGATTGACTGTCATGGTATCAGAAGTTCCCACCCATAGTGCCAGCACCCTAGTCTGAGCTACCATATCTCTTGCCTGGACTACTAATAGTCACCCCTAAATCACGTTGCCCTCCCTTCCCTTCTATTTCATACTCTGCTGATTATGCATCTCTCTTACTTAAAACCTTTGAAAGTTTCCAGCTGCCCTTAAAATACAGTCCAAAATCCTTAACAAGACTAGCCCTTATCCTTACCAAGACCTGATTGACTGAGAGAACGTAGATTGACATGCAAAAGATCCGGAGTATCATTGGCTGTCCAGCAAAAATCCACCCAGGCTTAATTCTAGCATTTGGGAGCCCCACGCAGCCAAGGCACAGCAGAGAGGACGAGGCCCTGGCTACATCAGAAGCCCCAATCAGAAGTAGGGCAGGATTAAAGAGAAAGCCAGGACCTCACAGGCATGCCTGAGGCAGCCCTATTGAAAAAGGATAAAGACACAATATTAAAAATGGAAGCTTTTTGGGGCTGGCGAGGTGGCATAGCGGTTAAGTTTGCACGCTCTGCATCAGCAGCCCGGAGTTCACACCGGTACACACTGCTCATCAAGCCACGCTGTGGTGGCATCCCACATACAAAATAGAGGAAGACTGGCAAGGATGTTAGCTCAGGGACAATCTTCCTTACCAAAAAAAAACTGGAGGCTTTGGACTGTGTGGGCCTAAAGAAATGATTCTAATTCATGGTGTTTATAATAACATAATTAAATATAATTTAAAGAATTAAAAGTAATTTGTTTTTTTAATATACAAAGATGTTTGCTGATTGATAGATATTTATTGATGGAAGCACTTTTCATTTTATTAAAATAAACCTTTTATTTTATAATAGTTTTATATTACCAGAGAAGTTACAAAGATAGTACAGAGCATTCCCATGTACCCACTGATGTCATCATCTTATGTAACTCCACTACATTTATCAAAAGCAAGAAACCAACATCGGTATAACACTGTTAACTAAACTCCAGACTTTTCAGATTTCACCAGCTTTTCCACTAAGGTCCTTGCTCTGTTCAGGATCTAATTTAAGATCCCACACTGCATTTAGTCATCGTGTCTCCTTAGTCTCCTCTAGCCTGTGACTATTTCTAAGATTTTCTTTGTTGTTGATGACCTTCACAGTTTTGAGGAGCGCTGGTCAGGTGTTTTATACAGATTAGACTGGATAATGGTTTTTATGGGGGAGCAGGAAGACCACAGAGGTGAAGTGCCATTTCCATCACATCATATCAAGGGTACATGCCATCAACATGACTTATCACTGTTGAGGTTGACCTTGGTCACCTTGCCGGGGTAGTGCTTGTCAGACTTCTCCACTGTAAAGTTACTTTTCTCCCCTTTCCATACTGCACTCTTTGGAATCAAGTCACTAAGCACAGCTTACCACACTCAAAGTGTGTATATGTGTGTGTGGAGAGGATTCAGCTCCACCTCCTGGAGGGGAGAGTATCTCTGTAAATTATTTGGAATTCTTCTGTAAGAAAGAGTTTTCTTTTCCCCCTCCCCCCATTTATTTTTTTCTTCAACCACTTATTCATATTAGTATGAATTCACAGATATTTATTTTACACTTTGGCTTATAATCCCATACCATTCATTTTGTCACTCATTTTGTTCCCTCTTTGGCCACGGGGAGCTTTCCTGTTGGCACCTGTGTCCCTTTGACACACTCCATCTTTTTGCCTCTTGAGCAGTCTCTCACTTTTGGCACTACTGAGGTCAAGGTGCTGGGTGTAAATTAGATTTTAAAAACACTTTTTTGTGTTTATTCTTAATTATAAAATTAATACACACTGTTGGTAAAATTTTCAAACAACATAGAAATGTATCAAGTAAGACATGAAAAAGTCCCACCTACTTTTTCCCCAATCTACTTTCTAAAACTAAACTATAGTGTGTAGTGTACCTCTGGTTTTTAAAAATTTATAAATTAATGTATCTTTATAGCATAATATTTGAAAATTACTAAAATGTATAAATTAAGATTTTAGAATTTTTCCCTTGTTTATAATGGGGAAAATTAGAAACAATGTACTTCAACAACAAGGGGAGATTAGTTAAAAATGCCATAGTCCACCCATAAAATGTAACTATAAGAACCAGATAAGAACCACGTAAAAGAAAAATATTTAATTCCATGAGTAAAGGTTCACAATATATCTATTAAATGAAAAATAGCAGATTACAAAATAGTATGTACAGTATTATCCCCTCTTTTTTGTACAAAAAAAAAAGCATATACTTACACATAGAAAAGACTAACAAACAGGATATACATATCAAAGTGTCATAGTGATTAACTCTGAATGGTTTTGTAATTACACCTTTTTTCCTTTTCTTTATATACATTTTCCAATTTCCCTACAGTAAATATGCATTACTTTTTTTTTGTTGGTGAGGAAGATTGGCCCTGAGCTAACATCCGTTGCCAATCTTCCTCTTTTTGCTAATGAAGATTGGCCCTGAGCTAATATCTGTGCCATCCTCCTCTATGTTGTATATGGGTTGCCACCACGGCATGGCTTGATGAGCAGTGGATAGGTCCACACCAGGGATCTGAACCCGTGAACCCTGGGCTGCCGAAGCATCATGTGTGAACTTAACCACTATGCCACCAGGCCGGCCCAACGTGCATTACTTTTGAACTGAGGAAACAAAGTAATACAGACCGTCCTCACTTTGCACAATATCCTGTTCGTTGAAACTCTGCATATTGGATCCTCGACCTTGATTTGCACAATTCTGTGAAAGGTGTAGTTATTATTAAAAAAAAATCTTTGGAGTTGAACAATACAGAGTATGAAAAGAAACATTAGTGCCAAGAATGGAAATTGAGTTGATATGTTCCCTCACTCACTCGACAAACATTTTAGTGAGTATTTATGAAGTGCCAGTCACTGTTCTAGTTGTCAGGGATACAACAGTATATAGGTTCAAGGACGTTCTCCACTGAGTTATTTATGATAGTAAAACATTGAAAACAATCTAAATGTCAAAACTACATAAGAAAATTACATTATAGCCATAAAATGGTAGAGTACGTAGCCATTAAAAATCATGTTCTAGATCAGACTTATTGACACTGAAAATGTTTAAAATATACTTATAATTGAAAAAGAGCAGGCAACAAAAAATATGTAGAGCATAATGCCATTTTTTTTTTTACTAACAATGTATGTATACTTAAGTTCGTGTATAAATATTTTTATATTTACATGTACAGTCTATCTATATCTGAGTAAAACCATCTCTCTCTCCCCAGATAGAGACTGGGGAAGAAAATGGTCTTTGTCTAAGAACTAAATCAGACTTTTTAAAGTGAAATCTCAAAGTATCTGCTAAATCTTTGGGTGTGTAAATAGAGGCCTGGAAGTAGTTCTGGGGTAGAGGTGAAAGAAAGTGGTACTGCTTTGCATAAGAAAAATAGCAGACATTTGAGGGTGTTCTGAGTAGGCAGAGAAAAGCTGGCTGAATTAGATTCCATCTGACTCCCTAAGCTTTCAGTCAAGGCACCACGCAAAGGCCTTGACTTCTAACATATTGTGTGTAAATTATGTATGTGAATCAAGAAAAAGGGCTGAGTTCCATATTTAGGCTAATGCCCATCTGCCAATGAAGAAAGAGCTAAGAATGCAAAGAATAAGAACTCAGTGGAGTCAGGAAGTTGACACTAATGGTGATCATGAAAACATAAACTTCACTGAGGAAAAACCCAATGTCACATTTGTATTTGCATCCCTGGCACCTAGCTAAGTAGTGAATTCATTTAAATTTAATAGGGGCTGGAGTCCTTGAAAGCCAAATAAGTTTGCATTTCTCAACATCTGCCTATATAGTGTCAAGTGTTGCAATAGGAAATACTAAAAGTTCAATTATTTATCCTTTGTGATTTCATTCCCTATGTCTAGAATCATTATCTTTGTGATAAGCACAATCTTAACTCCACGTTATGCATAACCCCAACTTCTGCCACTTCCTGCCCCAGTTTCTTTGCTCTTTACACTGTCTTTGATATCAACATCATCAGTATCCCCACACTCATCACAGCTAAGATGTACTGTTGGCTCATTATGTACAGGCATTGCTCTAAATGCTTAACCTTCGTAACAACCCTGTGGGGTAGTTACAGATGAGGAAACCAAGATACAGAAGTTAAGTCCTCTTTTATTCTTACTCTATATATAATCCCTGGGTACCTGCATTCATCCATATTGCCTCAAAGATCACTTATACACTGAGGACTCAGGCTTCACTGTAAGCTCCGTGAGTCCAAAAAGTTTCTATGACTATCGAGTTCTCCCATATATCCCCATTAATCCAGTCCAGGGCCTCCCACAGAGCTGGCCTTCAATACAATATTTGTGGAAAGAGTGAATAGATCTAGCCCAGAACTTTATGCTCACCTGTAGTCCTAGCATCTCTCTTTGCATGCCCCATAAGCACTGCATACTCAAAACATCCAGAACAAAACTTAGCACCTCCAACTCTTCTCTACCCCAAATATGTTCTTTTTTGGTGTTTCCTCTTTCTCTGCAAGTGGCACCATCATCTCCCTGGAACCTCAGTCATGTTTCCTTTACTCACTGTATTCAGCCAAGTTCCACAGCTTCCACCACCTAAACATCTCTGACACCCCTCTGCTCCCCTCCATTCCCGCTCTATAATGCTATGATCACACACTCTAATAGCGATACTCAGTGGGCGTTGGAGTGCCCTTACGAAGGACGCTTGGTAAGAGAGAGGAGGGCTGGCAAAAAGGATGAAGGGGGTCCATTTTGAAGGGAATCAAAACCATGTTGGTGATTGAAAATGCAAGATTCAGGGAAAATATCTATTTCTTGTTTTGTTTTCACTAAACTTCTGTCAACAAGTTCAGGGTCACCTTTAACTGGCAATAAAATGGTTGGAAAAGATCATTTCACTAAGATAGACTGTGTATCTGAGGTTAGCATAACTATCAATAATTGGTTTTTTTCTTTTCAGAAACAAAATACGCTGAAATTCAAGAACTGGGCCTGAGTAACTATCCGTGTGACTCACCAAAGCTGAGCCACTTCCACCCGGTGAGCCGGGCCGGTGGTGTGGTGCCCTGCAGCCTTGGTACAGCTGGCTTGACCCCCTTCACCGGGGAAAGCAGGAAGGACCGTCCCCTCTCAGCTCCCCTGATGGCACTCTGGGTTTTTCTGACTCTGTAAAAGACAATCAAATAAAAATGCTATCTTCCCGTAATCAGAAAATATTCTCCATTTGGACTTTTCCCAGGACCTTAAATTTAAACTGTTGAAATTCTTTATTTCATGCTTCCCTTGTCACTAACCTTTTGAAATGGAGAATTTACCTTTAAGGAAAATCTGCACTTTATTACATGAATGGTAAAAGTTAAGTCTTTAGTCAACTCTCAAAAGAAACAAATTTCTACCTTGTAATATATATATGTGTGTATAGTATATATACTATATATAGAGTAGCAAATGTATTCTAAGAAAGGGAAGACTTGAGACACTGACATATAGATCATGCACCTTTAAGGATGTCTCTTTATTAGGATTCTGAGTGTTGTATACCAAGTTAATTGAGTTACAAAAAAAGAAAACAAATGAAAAGAACATGCATAAACTTTTATAGAACAGCCAATCTATCAAGCACAAAGTGGTCATCAAGCACTTACCATATGTTCTAAACCACTCTGCGTTTACCCAAGCACAGTACAGGCTGTCTCCAGCTTTACACAGAAGGTGTGTGCCCAAGTTCGTTGGTAGGTTTTTTTAAACTCAGAACAAATTTCTTGCAGGCATAAATCTTCATTTCCTATATCATGTGTTAAATAGACTTTTGTGGACTAGCCTAGGGCGTAGCCAGTATATTGTTTATATGGAAAGTGTTACCCATGTTCAGTTTATAGCTCAGTAGCTGAGACTCAGGACCCCATCCCTTCCCCCAGCCACAGAAAGAACCACAGACTGTGGTGAGAGGGGCAGGATCACCACCATGGACTCTAGCTACCTTCTGTTACCTCTGAACACTCTGCTCCTCGGATCCTCAGCCACTTGGTCCATTCTTTTTTTTTTTTTTTTGTGAGGAGATCAGCCCTGTGCTAACATCTGCCAATCCTCCTCTTTTTTTTTGCTGAGGAACACTGGCCCTGGGCTAACATCTGTGCCCATCTTCCTCCACTTTATATGGGATGCCGCCACAGCATGGCTTGCCAAGCAGTGTGTCGGTGTGTGCCCAGGATCTGAACCTGGGCCGCTGCAGCAGAGCGTGTGCACTTAACCGCTTGTGCCACCAGGCCGGCCCTCACTTGGTCCATTCTTAAGGAGAGAACTGTTCCCCTTTGAGTTTGGGTCCTCATGTAACTGCTGGTTTGAGAATCCCCGACTCCTGATGTAGGTTGTGTTGGGCGCATTCTGTACTCCTCTCTTGGACCCACGTTCTCTCCACTGGCCCTTAGAGGTGCAAGAGCTCCACAGGCTGGTCGTGGTCAGCACAGGAGATGATCTCTGGCCATCAGAAGAGAAGAAAACTTGGCTGGCTCAGTCATCTGGACTAGGCAGTTTTCCCAAGCCTCCTTGGGACAAGGCCCACTAGGTCTGGGAGCTCTGTTTGAGCTTCCCACATCCAAACAGGGAGCCCTTCAGATGACATGGAGCCCCATGTATCAACTTGAGAACGAGAGGAATGGTCCAAGCAAGGGACCCAGATGCCCCAACAATCATCAAAGCCCTCTTGGTCAGCACCAGACATCCACTTCTAGGACAAGTTTGGAGGCAATTCCAGGGATGGAGCATCAAGTCACTCCTGTCGTCAGTGGGCATTCTCCATTTTTCCTGCTTTTGCAGGGCCAGGATGAGGATATGCTAAATGACTCTGGGCAGGCCTTGTCTCATTGAGTCCTGTTCTCCAACTGCCCTGCCATAAATGGGTGGACCAATCTGTTGCAGAGATTTCCTTTGGCTGGTTTCCAAAGTAGAGTCTCGCCAGAGAACTCCAGTGTGAGTTCTGATTTTAGAGTTGTGGGTGGGGGATAGGCACTGGGTACATGGAAAATTGAGAAGCTCATTTAGTTTCTCAAAGTGCATTCAAGGTCCTGATATGGACTCAGGATACCTCTATTAAGTGTAGGCATTTATAAAAGAAATTGCTTTCATCACTCTCAAAGAATAGTAGAAGGGTAAGCAAGAAGGGCTTGAGTAGGAACCAGAGAAAACTGAGAAAGAAAGGCTGGTCCTATGCAGGGTAGAGGAGGACAGTGGTCAGGAGTTCAAATTCAGTGTTATATTCAAGAACAAGCTCAAATCAGTCCTGGCAGGTGCCAAAGTCCCAGCGAGCCAGTGGCGGGGGGTGGGGGGTGGGGTGGGGGTGTGGTGCTCAAGTTTGGGCAATATTTAAGCCTCTGTGGGCAGTAAGAAATTTTGAATGGATTAGGGAGGAGTTGAGACATCAGAAAAGATTCTACAAGAACTTATCAGAAGCTTATCCTAGCCCTAGGGTTAAAAGCTGGTATCTGCAACTTTTGATGTAGATTCTTCTTTAGAAACACTAAAAAACAAAAAAACAGTATCAATCTGACAAAAGGGCAGACTCGCATGTTGGCTGAGTTTAGGTAGGCTGCCATGCTGGCAGAGAACCTGGACTCGGAAGATCCAGGCTCAAGGTCTGTTAGGCAGGCTAGCCACACACAGGAAGGTAGGATGAAGGCCACCACACAACAGTATCACTGGCATTTAGGGCTCTGTAACTATCAACACAAGCATGAGTCATAGCCCGGCCATGGACTCTTTATAGAAGCTCTCCTTCATAGAAAGAAATATGTGTATTAGTCAGGGCTCTTTTCGTTGCAAATGGCAGAAACTCACTCCAAAGTAGAAAGTGAAAAAAGAAATCCATGGACTAGATAACCGAAAAGTGCACGAGCAGAACTTCAGGGATGGATGAATCCAGGGACTCAAATGATGTAATCTAGGATATGTCCTTCTCCATCTTCTGCTTTCTTCTGTGTTACTTTCAATAGTTAGTTTATAGTTAGTTTCAATAGTTCAGTCCACAGGGTGATAAGGTGACCATTAGTACCTCCAGACTGACTTCATAACTTCCTTACTTCCTCTTTTAGTGGAAGGAGAGTCCTTACCCAGTAAATTCCAGAATCAAGTTTTTATTTACCTGGTTTGATCTTGGAATCATTTCTGAACCAGTCACTGTGTCCAGAGGACTTTGTTACTCTGATTGGCCATACTTACATCACGTCGGGCAAGCCCTATCCAATCACATGAATTAAGAAGTAGGAAAGAGATGGTTCTCCATGGAAAATTGGTGTACTATTACCAGTTTATAGACAGGCAAAACCAAAGATGTCCTCTACAGGAGGTGATTAATTAATATTCTCGCAGGCAGAGTCTCCCAGCCTGGTTTTGGGCAGGGCTGAGCCTGCAGGTAGCCAATGACCATTAATGTTTGGGCATTGTTAGAACAGACAGGGACTGATAAAGTCGCGGCGGGGTGAAATGTATCAGCAGGTCTTACAATGTCTTATATTTGTTTAATGTTAGAGTTTTTACTGAGTGCTTTTCTCAGAGATTATATTTTCAAATATTATTTAATTAAATGAGCTACTTAATAAGAAAAAAATATTATCTTCTCCATTATAGGGATGGCAAAATTGAGCCTCTGAAAGCTTAAGCAAAAGGCCCTCTTAGTTATAGATAATCTGGGTTGTTGACAGAGTTGAGCCATAAACCCAGCCTCCAGGTCGGTTGTTTATTTTATTCCACCACTATTGCATCTGGGGAAAACGTTTCCAAATGTTGCCAAAAGTTTTGGCTCTCTCTACATGAGGTGATAGGGAGGGTCATCTAGTGAGACAAGGCCCTTGAGGGAATAGTTCAAGGATAACCTGGCTGGTCAGGATAACCACATGGATATGTATACCTCTAATGTTAAGCCTGCGTTTAAAATCTGATAAAAAACATGGTGGGATTTTATGAGCTCTTAACTTTTAGTACTTTTTACATCTGTGTGCATTTATAAGTTACATAGGAGAATACTTATTTGGTAAAAACACTGAAAATTCCCTTACAAGACAATTGAGAGAAAAAAAATCAGGCACTTATAAAAATGTAGCTTTGAGGGAAATGGGAATTTTAAAGTCATCTAGTTAATTATTAATGCAAATGATCAAAACAGTAGATGATATTTTTATATTGGTAATGGGATGTCTGGCAAAAATGTAACTTTGTGTGCATTCAAAACACACTGGTTTCTGTGGATTATTAAGGAGGCTAAATTATCATGCTAACGTACCTATAGACAAGCAGTTCAAACACTTTCCACAACTGGAGAAGAGTTTCAGAGATCCACAGTTAATATTCAAGAAGAGAGCTTCTTGAGAGAGCTCAGACTGTACCAAGTTGGCACCTCTGCCAAGAACAGAAATAGGATCACAGGGTCTATCTCCTGACACATTCTTAGTTCCCTACCAGGAAGGGGCAGTGAGCAACCTATTAGTCAGGGAGGTGTTTATACTTCTGTCAACTCCAATAATGCGTTTACTTGAACTAAGCTCTCGTGCTTTTATTTATTATTATTATCAAATGAGCGCTTAATGTTGCATCAGGGATTTCTGCAACTATATTGAAATTTTTACAATCTAGCATAACCCGGCAGGTACCTAAGTTTAATGAATATTTTCACATTTAAATACTATTAAAGCTAGAGAATATTATTTAAGTTATTGTGAGTCTTTTTAACAATACAACTGCAAGTTGAATTCTCATTAATGAATGTGTTCATTTTTCTTCTTTGGCTTTAACCTCTGTGAAACAAGGGGCTTAAGATAGTAGAACTTTCTAGAAGAGAGCTCCTCATAGATTGTTCTACAACATTTAAGTTAGGTTCTTCTTGAGGCAAACTGTTCACTTAGGCACCTTAAAGCACCTCTGGGGCCTTCTCCACCCACAATGTTTCTGCTCTGAATTCTGCACTGAATATGGATATTTTGAGTGGCTGTGTCTTTATAATGATATAAATGCCACACTCTTCTCTTTCTACAATAACAAGGTTTTCAGCACAGTGAAGATCATCTCTGATTTTCTTTTTGGTAGAGAACATTTCTGCATGATAATGGCCACCCTTGGCCTATGCTTTTTGCTAAGTTGAAACCTTGTGTATAATAGGCGCAGGCTCTTATCTATGTCATCAACTTTTCAGGGCTCTGAAAAAAAGAATCTTGTGAAACCTCCATTCCCCCACTCCCCTCCAAAAAATAAACCTATTGTTTGCTATCTGATTCCTGAAATTCCAGCCTTGGCTTA